GAGAGGAGAATGTATTTAAACTAGTTCTAAACTAGTTTTTCAATCACAATTAAAGTCTTACTCATTAATGAGTTTTAGTCCTACCAGGACCAATACTCCTTATTAATTACTTAATAAAAGAAATAGAACATATAAAATAATAACATGAGGGAAGGAGGGCTCACGCCACTCTAAACCTCTCCTTAATATCATTTAACATTTAGTTTCTTTTTAATTGTAAATTACAAAAGAAAGCATCATCTTTATTTAATTAAAAATACATTAATTAAGTATAATAAATTTAATTTGTCACACTTAATTAATTCTATAAAATAAAACTCTCCTTAAATATTATGAATCAAATATATTTTAACTTAATTAATATTTAATCCATTTTAAGTATTACGAACTCAATATTACTTAATTTAATTAAGATTTAATTTCTTCTAGCAATTCAATCGAGAGGTATAATCATTTGTTGTGTGACCCATAGGGCCTTATATATTAAGCACTGATCAAATTAAGGTCTTAGTGAATCCCTACACGATTCTTCAGACAAACTTAATATGTAAGGAAGTTTGTGAGGACTATTCAAACTCCCTATAATATAGAGCTCATAGTGATATGGTCCTTTCATTCAACGAACATTCAACTAAGTCTAGAACTTGATATTGTGTCTATTCCAATAACTTAGTCTTTGTCTCTCAATCTTTCTAGATGATCCATAACGATCATATTCGATATCCAAAACGAATATATATTTGCATTGGTCAATGACTTTATGATTCATCTAGATATGAGAAGTAGAATGTTCTCTCTTAATCTATTATGAGGAATCGATCCTTTCTTGACTCAACTATTACTCCAAGTGCTTCGTGATGCATCCAACACATGTTGTATCTACCCCATCTGGAGTGCAAGTGTTGGTCATGGTCAAAGTACATCACTCCGCACATGTAGTACGTATTGACCTCAAGTCGAAGGATTATTAAACTACTTTATACGCTGATAATCTCATAAACACATGAATAGAACTTATCAAATGGTTTCTTGGTGGGTATGCCAATATTCTTTAAAATAGCTATGTGATCATCATGAATTACATGAACTCATAGTTGTGAGATCAACTATACTTTCTAAAAGTTTGATGCATTTCACATATCAATCTTATCGTATATCATCAATATCCCCTTCTTGATGATCATTGATTGAGGCTATTTTAGGACCTTATGTTATATCATACAAGCTCTCACTTACTTATTGACAACATAAGTCCAAGGGAACACGATTATGAATAAGACATTGACATTTGAAATGCTTAATCATCAATGTGTAATACCGTATATATCAAATATATAAAACTGAATGTGATAAAGTACGTATATCTTTAAAAAGCGATTCTCACTAGGACACATATGGGCTAGTGGTTGTGTCAGAGTAGTGGTGTGCGACGGTGCGATGACTAGGGGCGGGATGTTGTGTGATGCAGTTGTGAAAGGGTTGGGGGAGGGTAGTTGGGGCCTGATGTGATGGGTGGGGGCTAGTGTGGGGGTGGGGAATGCTGGCTGGTGACGTAGGGGAGGGCCTGGGGTCTGGTGGCCGTAGGTGGTGGTCACTGGTCACCGGCGGTGGCCATAGGTGGTGGTCGCAGGCGGTGGCCGGAGGTGGTTACCGGTGTCGGGGTGATGGTCGGTAACTTTAAACGATCGAAGCGGTAATGGTAATTGATTGGGTTGGATAATTATAATTGGTCAAAATTAGCTAACTATAATTTGTGACTCAGGTAACCGTAACTGACGAATCGGGTAACTGTAACGGATTGGGTAACTGTAACTGAAGGATCGGGTAACTGTAATTACCGGATTGAATAACTATAACTGAACGGGTGAACGTTGATAACTGAGTCACTAAATGGTTGGACGTTGGTCACTAGATGGCTAAACATGCATGTAAATGTGGCTTTAGTCACTATATCACTTAGTCATTGGACGAAAGTTACCGTGTCAATTAGTCATTGGATGAAATTACTATGTCAATTGGTCACTGGATGAGAGTTACTATATGATTGGTCACTATGACGAGTCAATTAGTTTAATAAGGGTGAAATAGTGTATTTACCTTTTTTTAGTCACTTTTTTTGGAAATTAAAAAGAAAGATCACCTTTTTTTCCATTCTCAATATTTTAGTAATATTAATGACAAACCCCAAGCATTGAGAAGCCATCAAAACCACAAAACAAGGGCAAAAGAGGTCTCATAAGTTAAGTAGATTAAGTTTTGTACCAGTCACAGGGTAATTAACTAGCAAATGTGCTTGATGCCTTGATGTACACCCTTCACACACAAAACACGTGTTTATAATATTAATCAAATGATCTAGAAACATAGCACATGCTTGTAGAAAATTGGTGTTAATGACAAGTCATGTTTCAATGTTTGTAAGCAAGTTACATGCATTAGGCACACAAACATGCGTCTATGTATACACTTGTCCGTCTCTTTCTATGTTTGTCTAATATGTTCCTAATACTATGAATAGGAGGTGTTTGTATCTGATTCTTAAAACAGTTTCTGCTTCTTAGGTGTTGGAATGTTTGGCTGAAAGTGCAGAAGTATTTCTGATGCTTTAATTTACTTCTAGAAACAGTTTTTTAAAAGCCGTGAAAGACCAGCTTCTAAAAACTGATTCTGATTCTGCTTCTTCTTTAAAAAAGAAGTAGAAGTAGAATCAATCTCAAACATCCACATAGTCCTAGACTATTGAGTCAATACTCAATTTAAGTCCAAATTATTAATTTGGTCAATTTTGATTCTCAAATTTCACTTCTTTACCAAATTTAGTTGGAATAAGGACAGAAATATTACTAATAGCTTTGTGAAATACAAAAAAATGACTACTTTTCCTTTTTTCCAAAAATATGACTTACCCAGCCCATCACTTTCCATCCAGCCCATTCTTTTCGTCTCTTAAGCCAAACCGACACAGGAGCTCCCAAGGCCAGCGGAGGAACATCCCCCAGGCCATCGCAGGAGCAGAGGAGACCACCCCCAAAGTCGTCGTCGTAGCCTCCGCGGACAAGGTAAACAGATCGCCGCTGCCGTCGTCCTCGCCCATGTCTTCTCCCTACGCCTCGCCTCACCTCCGCCACCTGCCAAGGTGAATCGCCTTCTCCGTCTTCGTTGTGGCGGCGGCGACTTAGGGTGAATCGCCTTCTCCTTCTTCGATGCACAATACCTTCTTCTTGTTCGCTAGCTTTGTCCATCTCAATCTGCCACCCTATTTCAGATCTGGTGGTGTTGGGGCTGCTGGGGCTCGAGCGAGGCAGAGAGGTAGTTGTGTGGGCTGCTGCAAGTCACTGAGCGGCACTGGGGTCACGTTGTGCGGCGGCGTAGTAGTGGTGGAATGCAGTGGCGTGGCGGTGGTGGTGGAATGTGGTGCTGGCGTGGAAACTTTCCGGTGGCCGGTGACCGGAGTAATTGTATGTCACTGCGGAGTTGTCACTACGGAGATGTCACCGCAGACTTGTCACAGTGGCCGGCAGTGTTGGCCGAAGGCGGCTATGGCCGGACGACGGAGATGTCACTGTGGTCATAGTTTGGGGCAGAGATGTCACTACGGAGTTGTCACTGTATAGTTGTCATTGCGGATGTGTCACTGTGGCCGGCAGCGACAACCTGCGGCAGTGACACAAGTCATGGCAGTGGAGGCATCACCGTGGTCGACGATGGCGAAGATGTCACTGCAGAGATTAGCTTCGGAAATGTCACTACGGAAATGTAACTGTGCATTAGTCACATTTTTGTCCAAATGTAAATATGGTCACTTTTTTGGAATTTAGATTTAATTTAGTAATATTAAGGGGAAAACCCCTAGATTCATTTCAATACATGTGATAAGTTCAAAAAAAGTGACGTGATACTAGATTCATTTTAAGATATACTACCTCTTCTCATAAAGTAATCTCATTTTCTTTTTTGGACCGTCTCAAAAAATAATTCTCATTTTCCTTTTTGAAAATTTTTGTATGACTATCATTCATTTACCCTTTTCTTACTCAACCACAACTATACAATTCCACTTTATTTCCACTTTCTTAATCTTCAATCCAAATCCTAGTGGGAACTATTTTATGGGACAAGGGAGTAGAACCTTCCATAACATTATACATGGATTGAGTTGTACTCCCTGACTCCCTCCGTCCCGAATTGAATTGCAAACTTTGACCAACACAAGGATTAATGAATGACAATAAATGATGCTTGTTTTTTACACTTTTGTGAATTTGTCCATATTCCTGAAAGTAATCTGCCTTTAAGTTAATGGGAAAAAAGTAAAAGTAAGAGTAAATTTGACGTTTTATTCTTATTTACAAACCTCAAATAGAAATGGAAAATCATTTTGGGACAACCAAAATAAGAAATTTTGCAAATCAAATTGGGACGGAGGGAGTATTTGATTAGAGAGAAAATGGAAAAAATTAGCATACGACTAAATTCGGTAGACAAATTAAAGTTGAAGATCTAAACTAGTCACATTAATAGTTTAGAACTAAATTGGGTATTACATACTAGTACTAGGGGCGGACCGTAGTAGAGACCTAGGGGACTACCGCCACCCCCCAAAAAATTAGTGTATATATATATACGAAAAATGATTTTCGTCTTCCCAAAAATTATTTTGAATCCCTCAAACAATATTTTCACCCCAAGATGACTTTCATGGGTCCGCTCTACTAAGTAATTGTTTGTGTGAAAATGTATAGAAAAGTGTACAACGTGTAGTGCAAAGCTCATTTTTAAATTCACAATGCAAAACAGCAATCATATTGCAATGAAATTATTCTAACCCAATATTTTTTATTTTAAGGCTTACATGTTGTATTATTTTTTTTAGAAAGAAAAAAAAAGAAATCTAAATTATACTTTGAATTCAATTACTATAATAACAACCCAAAAGACATATCCATGTGGCAAAACAGTACCATTTATGATTAATACCAAAGCATTAAACCATGTAGACAGAAAAAAACAAATAGCCAAAATACTCAAAGCACCAATTACTAGATAAGCATTTAAGTAATAATATGAATTCTGAAATTAGTATTATGAGCATACCAAAACTATCCAATAAAATATATCCATGTGGCCAATCTGTGGGCAGCAATGTCTTAAACCATCCCACTAGATATGCATTTAGGCAAAATATCACTGTATAAGACTTCTCAAGCTAGTGTTAAGTAACTAAGAGCATGGCACTTAACTTCATCAATGAAGGGGAAAGGAGAAAGGAGAAGCTAAGTTGCAAAAGAGAGAACCGAAGACAATTGAGATGTAACAAGCTCTTCTTCCTCATCAGAGTCAAGCGTGAAGTCAAACTGTCCTTCCACCTTTGTCACAGGCCCCATATCCTTGAGATGAACCAAGCTCTCGCTGTAGTTAAACGCCTGGTAACAGAGCGGCTTAGCATCTTCAATGTACACCTCCTTCATCTTCTTGGTTTTGGCATCAAACAAGAAAAGCTTCCCCTCCCCGGTTTCCACCAATATCTCCTCACCATTAGAGCACTGAATCTGCTTAGCAACCGGAACTCCAACAGGTCCCAGGCTGTACTTCTTCGCCCACTTCCCCTGCTTCTCATCCAGCATCACCACGTCCACCATGTCGTCCTTTCTGCTCGGCGTGTGGGCGAGAATGGCGAGAGAGCCTCTCCATTCCACAAGAAGAGTGGTGGAATGGATATCCACATCCAGCACGGGCACCCGGATCTTGCTGAACGTCCCTTTCTTCACATCATATCGTACAAACACCTCCCCGAACCCGCTCGGATCGCTCAGATCCTTCGCGAAGGCTCTCCAGTACGGCGCCCCGCCGATGATCGCGTCATTTCTGGTGCTGGTGACGTGAAATTTGAAGCCCAGCTTCACCCGGGTCCAGGAATCGCGATCAGCGGAGTACACGTCAGCCATAAGCTGCAAGCAAGCGTCCGGTGCGAGACCTTTGGGGCGGAGGTTTACGATTCTCACCACTTTGAAATCGGCGGTGGCGGAATCGAACCCTAGCCCAACGGACACCAAAATAGGGCTTCCGCCGTCGTCCTTCGGGAGGCGGATGGCTTTCCACTGCCTAGTTGCAGGGTTCCAGAGGACAATCATCTGGCCCAGGGGCGGGAAAGCCATGGAAACGAGCCCGTTCCAGGAGCCCACCAGATCCATCTGGTAGTGGTAGAAGAATTCCGGGAACGGGTGGGTGACCTTCACGGCTTCTCTGGCAGCGGCATTGACGCCGAAGAAGGAGATGACGTGGTCATCGTCGTCGGTGATGCTGTGGATGACGAGGGAGGGGTTTGAGGCGGCGGCGGCGCTGAGGTGCAGGGAGACGAAGCGGGGGGTGGCGAAGAGGGCAAGCCAGGGCTTGCACACGCACCTGAAGCGGCAGATGGACTTGGCGGGAAGGCGAGTGAGGATGCACAGCATCACATCTTCGGGGAACTTGCAGTCGGGCATGGCGGGGACTCGCCGTTCAGTAGTGGATGACTTACTGCTGGTTTTCCTGTTGGCCTTATTTTTGAACGATTTCTTGGGGTGCCATATCTCTTGCTTGCTTTCTCCAGATCCACTGTAATGTAACAATCCGAACAATGGAGTGAAATACCTTAGCTACGAGCCTACGAAGGTGGCAAATTTGTTACTCCCTGAATTTACTTCCAATTTTCGTCAGTCCAAAAAAGAATTTCACTTTCTTTTTTTAGTAAAGAATTTGTGATTCACAACATTTCTCTCTCCTCTGCACAACCCTCCACCACACAATTCCTTCTTTCTTAATCACCGTGTCACTTTAGTTTGGAAGAACATTTAGGGACGGAGGGAGTACAACTTAAGATAGGGTTGTATTATAATTTCAAATAGGTTTGTCACACAATTTAAGATAGTGATTATTGTGTGGTTGAGAGTTGTGCAGAGGAGAGAGAAATGTGTAAAAAATATTGTGAACCACAAATTCTTTACCAAAAAGGGAAAGTGAAAGTTTTAATTGGAACAGACGAAAAAAAGGAAAGTTGGAAGTTATAATAGGAACGGAGGGAGTAACTTTTTAGTGTGTTGATTATGAAGTTTTGGTTCAAATAGTTGGATTGAAGGATTGTATTAATTTTTTTAAAAAAAAATCATTGTATAATATCTCCATCCCTTTTTATTTGAGTTTTTTACCGGAATAATGCTAAATAAATAAATAATTCCCAAAATACTAGCAGGTTAAGAATAATTCCCGAAATACTGTTGAGATTAACCATGATTAATGAAAGCCGTCACTTGAAGTGGCGGCTCTTAGGCGCAGTACAAAAGCCGCCACTTGGAGTGACGGCTCTTGTGTTAGGTAGATTCCTGCACAGTTTATTAAATGAAAAAACTGCAGCCACCGGAAAATCTGCTTATCACAGTCCATTCCACGCAAACAAACAACCAAACATCTAATTTACTAAGACAAAATATATGAATGAGATGCATTACTAAGACAGTTACAAATATAAATGGATCATCCTTCAATTCCTTCACACCTACAATCTACATGTCTACATTCAAATGCAAGTGTAAAAATATATCTGAAACAAAAAAACGAATCAATGAAACTATATTGCATCACAAAACTTGAAATAACACATAAAACTTATAATAAATCCGGTGTTTCACAAAATGTTTCGATCTGCCACTACATGTTTCAACTTTCACACAATAATATAAATACAAAAATCATAAGTCAACGTGATCATCATCATCGTGAAGGTCATGTGGTTGTGGTTGTGCTCGTGGTCGGGGGCGCCTGCGCTAGTTACGAGGCCGAAGAACAACTCTATCATGTCGTATTGCTTGAGAAGACCCTGTTGTGGATGTAGATGTGGTGGAATTCTGAGAGGCGGCCATATATCAATAATCTACTCAGTCCAATACATCTGCGCACAGTGCAACAATGCCCGAACAAGCCTCATGGTATCCGTGTACATCTACTGCCTCATCAAGTACAATTGTCGCTCTGTCATGGATGCTACGCAAAGCCCGTGTTTGTAATGCAAACATGGTTATTAGTGAAAAACACATGAATAAATAAATAAAGTTATTTTAGTGACTATATTGTTTACCATCATATGAAGAGTGGCTAAGCTAGGCTGGTAATGATCGGTGGGTAGACGAAAACTGGGAGAGATGAACACCCGTGTGATGGTGTAATACCATCTCATGTAATCTGCAAAGGCTGTGGGGACTGATGATGGGATCCCGTGCACTCTATATATGCCGCTCTCTCATCCCACATAGTGATATAGTGAATATGATGCATCCCCCAATCTTCATTGTGCTTCCCTTATCTGTCAATCTTGTGTAAGTCCACAGATGTATCACAAGGTTCAAGAATAACCTGCTGCAACCTGAACTGTCGTAGGAAAGTGATGCTCCACTACATCAAAACATATCAAGGGCACACGTGCTCGCCATATCTCAATGTGCTCTTAACCAACAGGAGGCAGCAGTCCTAGAATCTAATGAGTGTACGGCATCCACGTCATCTATAATACAAAATAGTGTTACATCACAATTTATAAAAACGTAAAACAAAGTACTTACATTTAATGATATACAAGATATACCTGATCATCACATATGTGATCTAAAGCATCTCAGTAGTACCCTAACCCAACAACAGATGACATGCGCGTGACGTCAGAAAATAGGCATCTGACACACAGTAATCTATAAGAATATAAAAGGGATTCACGTACGTCATACATAAATTTGAAAAAGAAAAATCATAAACGTACCTACGACCCAAAGGGTCCTCGTCACGGACATGATGTGGCCCTAGTACAGATCGATCGTGTCGATCCATAGCATCATGAAGAGGACCACCATCTACTCCATGATATCGTAGTATGACGGGTCTGTCGATATGAGTGTGCTCCTATGAGCAATAAAAAATCACCCATCTCTCCACCGTCACAATGGCAACCTCGACATAACTGCCGATATAGGTATGCTAAAGTCGCACTACCTCAGCTATAAAGTGATGCTACATTAAAAGTCTCCAGAATGGGTAAATACAAGACCTGCACCTCATTATCGCTCTTGTCCGCAAATGTGGATGCTCCCATAAACATCAAAATGTAGGCTCTCACGTACTGCTGCACAACAGGGTCATCAGCATCAACACGTAAGGCAGTAAAATGCTCTCTCAACCAAGCCATCCTCAAGGAGGATCCCCGAATATCTGTCCCAGGGTGTGGCCGTACTCCCAACAATCTGTGTACCCAATCAACCCACAACCTACATGCAGTCCCGGTAATTGCCCGACCCTCGATGGGTACAGTAGACCTACCAACACAGCCACATCTCCCAACGTGATCGTAACCTCACCCACCGGTAAATGGGAAGTGTTAGTCTCCTATCTCCAACGCTCAAGTAGAGCGGTAAGTAATGCTCTATCTATATGCAAAGTCGAAACTAATCTGTGAACACCGTAAAACCCAGTTTATCGAACGTAATGTAAAGTCCTAACGTCCACCTGCATGTGGAATATAGTGCGTAGGTGCTCACGACACCTATCTACCTGAACATCCAGGCCACGCCACACATCCTCGCTCCGGTGTGTGGCATGCAATGTTAGGACTGAAGGATCAATCTGTCACGCCCCAGACCACAATTTTAGGCGCATGTACAACCGCCGTACAATCGAGTGATGTCACCCGCAGGTCAACCTCACTTAATCATACAAGGCGTTCGAGAAAATAATCTATCCATACTCAGTAGTAAACATACATAACAAACATCACAATTAAACCATTGAATAGCAGAAATATTCAGCGGTAATTCATAGGCCACATTCGGCCAATAACATGGGCATGCAAGCCTAAAAGTAGTTTATAACAAATAAAAGTATCCATGAGCAATGTTTGGTAATTAGAAGTCTCCGAAATCCGTTCGGACTGTTATCCGATAAATCACTAATATCGGTAATTGGGTCTTATTTGACCGACCGGTCAACCCTAGGCCCTTTTCATGGCCCGACTAAAATATCCACCACCATATACATATTATCTAGACCAAGATGAATATAATATGTGGTTTCGGAAAAGTAGGGTGGTCCCCTCTCCCGATGTGGGCCCCGCACGCAAATTCACCATTCACACAAACGTAATAATAAAAATTTACAACATCGTAAATTCATTAACCAGTTCATGAGATTCAATACAAGATTTACATAAAGGTAAATATAATTGGGGACGGTGTTACAAAATCGGTGCGAGATCCACTGACACCTACATCGGTGCTGTAATAGTAACGTATGTATTAGTTATTTTATTTTATTATTAAAATTGATTTTATTTATTTTTAATGATGTTAATGCATATGTGAATAAAAAACAACATTACCCAATGGAACTCCCTACGTGTCCCTGCAATCTTTTAGCACATGTCGTCCTGTTATGCCCTGTTTGCTTGCATAAACCGCATCTCACAGCACCTCTAAGACCTTCATCCATTTCATTTCTCAACCGTTTAGCCTTCAGACGACCTTTAGCGTGAATCATTGACGGGGCATGCACAAATCGTGGTCCAGTGTAAGTAGGTCGATAAGCTATATCCGGTATGGGCTTGAATACTCTTTTATAAGAAGCCGCATACTCCGATGATGAGAAAAATATATCAACAAAAGCATCATATGACAAACTACGTTCTCTGCATACTGCTAAGATATGTGAGCAAGGAATCTTATAAATATTCAGCTTCTGACATGTGCAATGGCGACAGTGCAAATTCACTGTTTGTTTTGTACCACCCTTCCCCACAGTTCGACCACCATGACCTGTCTCCATTTGGTATAAACCATGACCTATGTCAAATGTTATGACCTTGTGATGCTTTTCCTTTTCCGTATTTTTCTCAATCAGTTCAGTCACTTGTTGGCAGTAACGATGCCCTTCTGCTAACCTTCTCTTACTAGTTTCTCTTCTTTCCACAAAATAGGCATTCACATGATAGAATGATAACTCAACTAAGGCGGTTATAAGCAGGTATCGTGCACTTTTCATGACGCTATTGAAAATTTCAGCCATATTCGTTGTTGTGGTGCCATAGTTGTACCCCCCATCGTGGTGTAAAGACCACTTCTCCAAACCAATGTTCGCTAGATATTCTCGTGCTTGAGCCTGCATTTCGCCTATCCTATTAAATCCACCATCAAATTTCTTCTTTTGACGTTGACTTGATGTCCAAACGAACAGATTCTTCAAGTGAATGTCTTTAAATTGAGTATGTAGATTAGAAGCGACATGTCGTATGCAAAGCATATGTCGTGAATATGGCTCCTCCCATCCACTACCTACCTCATTAAGTGCCTTTAGATTCCAGCATGTCAATCTGAAATAACACACAATTCTCTGCGTGTAGGGGAAAGCGTCGGACGGGTTCGGGTTGGACGGGTTGAGATTTGGTAAACCCGTTTGGTTATCAAAGTTGTAATTGAAACCCCTACCTTATCAAAAAATAATATCGGACCATTCGGGTTGCACAAAATCGGATTGCGGTCGGGTTGAGTGGGATTTCGGGGTCATTCGGGTTGTTATGTACTTATGTTGAAATTGTGAGAAATAAAGTGGTAATTGATTAAAAACCA